AGCGGCACGTGAGCCAATCATTTGCCCGGTTGAGCCAAATTATCGTATTCGACAAATTGCCCAATATTGGTGTTATCTGGCAATTTATGATCATGATTGGTAGGGAGTCATTGACTGAGTTTTAATTTGATTACATCGTAACACATGAAAAAATAACAAGACGTGATCATAAGAGTTTGCCGGATAATTCTCAAATATTCGCACAGAATATTCACACAGATATTTACACGGATATTCACACAAAAATATTCGCACGGAATATTCACACATATTTGCACGGATATTCATATAGATTATTTGCACAGAATATTCTTAAATAATTCTCAATTGTTCACGGATTTTGTGTAACAGAATATTCACATACTAATTGAATATTCATTTTATCCGTAAATATTCACGGGTCCGAGCTCTAAAGCTTGTGTATGCATGTACCAAATTGATTCCAGATTTGCTACTGAACCATCGCAGGTGATATGACCCCATCCTCGAATTTTGGGCAGTAGTTCAGGTGGAGTTTCTTGCTGTTCATCAATCGTATCAATACTCTCGTTTATATCCCAGTGAACGGTAAAACCAAGCATTTCACACAGCTTTTTTCCGGTAAACACTTCGAGCCATGTGGTTAATGGAGATGCCTCAATAGCAACGTTATTCTGATTGTATTGCAGGGCAGCCACGTAGCCAAGGTTGCTTGGCATAGTTGCTTCCATACTCATGTGGGCCATGTAGCGTGGCGACCAGAACGGTACAGTTTTCTCGGCAAGTAAATCCGAGATTTTTTGAAGTTGATCTCTTAGGGAATTCATGTTTGATTTGAATTCGGCCGAATTCCGCATATCTGCTGTGATAAAGAAGGGATCCGTCGAAAAATAAACCTTTCGCGCTTCTACTTGTTTTTCGATAATCTCTTTATAAAATTCATGGACAAAATCACAGTTCTCAGCTCGTGGGCCGAAGAACCAGGAAGCAACCGCATTGTTTTCTTGACTGAAAAATCCTGCCATTATAACCTTAATAAATCAAGAAAAATTGAAAAAAAATGGTGTATTATATAGGATTTTGATTATCCTAGTCACACAAAATTCATTAAACCCGATTTATTTTACGTTTTACATGTGTGTTATGCATGAACGAACGCTTGTAGATCTTCCACAAAACATTATGCATGTGCATGCTTTAAGTATAGAAATATTTTTCATTTATTGATTCGAGAGAAATATTATTGATTTTAGGTATTATTGAAGAGTCCAAAATTTGATGTTACCTATTGTTTAGGCAAGCAGTAAACTCGTGAAGTTTTGCAATTTTTTTTTTATCTAAATATCAGTTCAGCAGTTGTGTAGAAATTTGCTTATCCACGCTAAATCAGTTTGAAAGTGAATTGTGCTTTTTTTTTTTATGCAGTCATACAGTCACACAGATGGTCAGAAGACATTCTCTCTCATTTTGCATTTGACAGTGTCACACGATAATCACCTAATTGCTTATTTTTCGGATCATAGCTTAAACGAAATATGTTTATCCCTTAAACCGTCTAGCAGCCAAATTTGGTCGCTTAAAATTTTTTGACCTATTTTTTTCCGTTTACTCTAAATTTTGTTAAACTAAAATAAAAGCGTACATGTTGGTTGCTATATAATTCTCATTTTAAAAATTAGTTATCTGGTGTGGATCGTAATAGGACTTTGATGCCAAATTTCATACTAAAAAAGTGGCACTTATAAAGATTCTTCACAATCGTCACACAGAGGTTTCTTTTATAATGCAACATTAAAGTTGATCAATGATTCTTCATGACCAACTTTACACATTTGGTTTTTGAGCTATTGCTACAGAGATATGGCGGCTCAAAGTTCAGGTCAAAATGCATGCTTTGCGGCCATCAGGTGAAGTTTTGCTTTTTGTTTAGACCACATGAAGTGCTTCACGTTAACTGTGGAGTGTGCCATGTGACTTGAATCTCTGAAGTCACCACAACCAATTAGAATAGAGATTTTACTAAAAAAAATTTTTTTAGAGTTTAATTTTCTTCTAAAAATTTAAGCGCATAAATTTGAACGCTTAGCTTGACGGTTTAAGGGATAAAATTCAAAAACCGGCGAAACTTTATTAATAAATGATTCAGATATTATTGTTAGGGTTTGAAATAGCATCAGGCGTATTTTTTTACTGCTTGATAATGAAAATTTCGTGTAAAAGCGATTGTTCTAGATAATTTTCCTTTACAATAAAACTCACACAATGGCTTTTTCACATGTAATTTGATGTATTCTATCTACGCCAAATCAGTCGCTAAAATAATTTACTTTACAAAAATAATATTGTTTAGTAATTACAATATATCATAATTAAATTTTATTACAGTAATCAATCAATCAATCAAAATATAATAAAATTACGGCTGTCCTGTCCGCTCTAAAATACTCATTGCTAAAACCGAAATATATACGTACGTACGTACGTACCTGTTTGAATCTGGCTCTTTC